TTTTTTTTTTGGCTACTGGCCAGTATATAGGTAGGTACTATTATCATTCCCATGTGTAGATGAGGAAACAGGCTCAGAGGGGTGAAGTAACTCCCAAAGCCACACAGCTGGTGTTGGTACAGCAGACATTTGAGCCCACGCAGTCTGGCTCCTGAGTCTGCTCTTAATTGCATTTCTATTTAAATCACAGGAAAAGAATTTAGAGGGTATACTCCAAAATGCTAAGACTGGGTACCTGTAGGAAGCTGATAGACTGGCAGTGGTGACCACAGGGACTTTTAGTCTTAGCATTAGTGTTTTATATTTTTTTCAAGGAAGAAATATTCATGTTAGTCATATACATAAAATACTATTTTTTAAAAAAGAGAAGTCAAAGAAGCAGATTTTATGTACCAATAGTATGTACTGCTAGTACTTTCTTCTGACTTGCCACCACATGCTTTTATCCCCATTGCACAGAGGAGGTGTGATGAGGCAGAGTGACTCACCTGCAGTCTCATCATTGCTGGGTGCAGAACTGGGCAGAGCCCAGGTCCCCCACCCATTCCCACTGCTTCAGAGTGGCTGAGCAGAGAGCCCACCAGGCTCTATCTAGGTCTGCCCTGCCCCATCTAGCCTGTCCTTTCTCCCCAGGATCGAGCGGTCCACAGACCAGGTCATTAAGCCTGTGAACCTAGAAGCTCTCTCCAAGTGGACTGGCCACATCCCTCGGGACGTGGTCCGGGACATGGCCCAGATTGCCCCCATGCTGGCTCGACTTGGCTATGACCCCTATGCAAATCCACCTAACTACGGCAACCCCGACCCCATCGTCATCAACAACACACATCGGGTGAGTGTGAGAGATGTGCTCTTGGGGCTTAGCAGAGGTGGAAACTCCAGCTACCTAAAAAAACATTCAGTCTCTTGATTCCTGAGCATCTGGTTTGTTTCTATCTGATGGACATGGTGAATTGTATGACTGCTAATATTTCCATTTTTGCTTGGGCTGCCAGGATGCTCAAGGCCAACTGGTAACCTCTCATATTGTAACATCTAACAGCAGGCCCACTTGTACACTAATTTCATCTTAGTTCTCTACTCTTATTTTTCTTCTTCCCCCTTATTTCCCTCACTATTTGTTTGTTTATCTGTTTGTAAAGTACTGCAAGTCCTTGTTGAGAGTGGGCATAAATAAATGATTGGTCCCTCTATTATTCCCATCAGGATTAATGTTGATTTCTTAGACAAACATGAGTTTAGAGCAGTGTAAATGACTTTTTAAGTTCTCTTTAGTTAAGGTGGTCAAGGGAAATGACTTTGACGAGATATTTTTGAAGTGTTACAGCAGGCAGATGCTCGCTGGGTAAAAGAACAGTTAATAACTTCATGATTTATGTGTTGCTGTTATAGCTT